GTAGCGGTAGTGGTAGTGGTAGTGGGCAATGGGGGTGGTAGAAATAGAAGTAGCAGTAGTACTAGAAGCAATAGTAATACTGGTAGTCGTGGTTGTCGTCGTAGCACGCGCCACTGTCCAGCACCAGCATCAGCATCACGACCCTGTAACAACTGCAACAATTTCGTTACAACAAACCACTATGACGACCACATGATCGTCCTTCCCTGTCTATGGGACCCTACTCCCAGCATCCACCAAAAAAAAAGCCCAAAGCCAGGATTTGAGTGGTTTCTGATGCTGAAAGTTCTCGATGTTAGAAAACGCACAGCATTGTCCAAATTATTGGGGACTTCTAGGGGGCATGAAGCCGAAACCAGACAACAGCCTTTCCCTCAAATCGTGGAGACTTCGCGAAACCAACGACCTCTAGCTGACGGCTCCTGAGCGAAGCTGCACAGTTTTGAGCACCACACAGGGAAGTTGAGCCGGTTAGCAGCTTGCTGCAAAAGATCTTTCACCTTGGAATGCAGGGATTGAGATTTAGGACATCATGGTCCTCGTCTTTGCGCCAGGATTTGTTTAAATATCCTGTGTTGCTGTTGTTGTCGCCACAGTCGTCGTCGTCGTCGTCGTCGTCGTCGTTGTCGTCGTCATCGTCGTCCTTGTTAATGGTGTTGCTGCAGCGGCGACATGGGGCATCGGGGTTGAAGGGGCATGGTTTGGAGGGAACATGGACAGTCAAGAAACCCAACAAAGCCTCACAACAAACGCGGCCCAAGTCGCCTACATGAAACCTCCTGCAAACGTAGCCCCAAGCGAACTCAAGTCAAAACTGCCAAATATCGTGCCTTTACTTGATACATGTACAAACCTACAAGAACTAATCCCGCAAATCTTGGTCTGGCGCAGTCTGTGTGGGCAGCAAACCAGTGATTTCCGCCGTGGACCCTGAGATTTTGGCTTTTAGGATTGTTAGGGTTTAGGGTCTAGGGTTTAGGGTTTAGGGTTTAGGGTTTAGGGTTTAGGGGTTAGGGGTTAGGTTTGTGGTTTAGGGCTTGCGGGTTTTAAGGGTAGGCTGGAACCCTTGGGTCTCGAGCGCTCTGTGTACGGCTGAGGACTGATTTGGAGGCACATCTAGGTTTAGGGTCTTTTCGTGCTAAGGCCAGGGGCGCAGGCTTCATTGTGAAGTTAAGAGTTGGTGTTTCGGTTTGAAAAAGCTGAGCATGATGATTGAACTTTTTCGAGTCTGAGAGAAGGGTACTGGTTAAAGCTTCAGTTCGGACTTACTCTGGTGCTAGCCCTCCCTAGGATGCAGGATTCACTGCGATGTTTGAGCGTTTCGGGGTTTTGCGGCGACACAGGCTAAGTCTTATAGAAATGTCCAGGGCTCCGGGAAATGCTTGATGGATGTTAGAGATTGGCGGTGGCGTTTTACTGAGTTTGCTGCCGCTTTGTTCTGACGTAGTGGTCTGGGCCTCAGTATGCACTTGAGCAACAAATGTGAAGCTGTCTCGTGGCTTAAAGCTGTAGGGCTGCTTGATACACAGCCACCGGGCCATTGTGCCTGATACACACGATGCTGACTTAAAGTCCTGGACAGAGCCCTAGGCTGGCTATAGTATGTTTGCCAGAAAAAAGACATCAACCAAATACAATGCAGTTCAGTTATGATACAGTACGATATAACATACAATTATATGATATGCAGAAAGAAGAGATAGAGCAGAAAAGCAAAGAAGAGAATATAATAGAACGGAATAGAGTAGCATAGAACAGAATAGAATAGAATTGGCATCAGAGTTAGAATCAGAATAGGATTGAATTCGCGCAGAACAGAAAAGAGAAACGGAACAAAGCAAAATACAACGAAAAAATAACCAGAATCAGAATCAGCATTAGAATTAGAATGGCGTAGAACCGAATTAGGATTAGAATTAGAACTATAATAGAGTTAGAATTAGCATTCGGAACACTCTAGTGCAACAGGGAAAGAGCCGCAGTAGCTTAAGCATTCAGCTTAGAGCCGCAAGTTCGGGGTAGTATTAACGATATTATAGGCGAATATACTATCATATACTACCCTCTGGCTCGGTTCCGGCCTTGTATGCACCCAGCTGCTCTCTGCCTTGAGCAAGGCTGAATTACGGCCTCAACCTAAGGCTCTTCAGAACTTCACGGCTGAAGGTGTAGGGCCCCTCACCACGGAATATTACAAGTTTGGAAGGTTTTGGATGCAGGGGTCTCGGGACCAATGGCTTGGAACAGCTGAAAAAAGCTACGTTGGCCACATCTATGCAGACACGGCGCCAGATTGCAACAGTGAGAGGAAGCTGATAAGGGTCGACGCCAGACCAGTTACAAAGCAAAGCCGCAATATAAAGCATGAGCCCCCAAACCTTAGCTGCACCCTGTGGAGAACACAAACCGGATTCCTACAGTTGGTCAAAGAGGCACCTGCGGGTGTGACCACGGTGACATCCAATGGCGCAGCATTCAAGAGCGGGGAACTTGCAGCCGGCGATGGACCTGTGGCGCAAGCCGTAGCATGACATCCTCAACACAAACCAACCCTCAATTAAAACTGCGACCCTGATCCCAAGCCCCACAGTGCCCCACAAAGCTGTGCCCCCAAAGCCCGGAGCCAGATCGGAATCTCTGGATCCAAAAGCCCGATAAACCATCCCGGGTTAAGGCTTTAGGGTTCAGGGTTACGGGCTTAGGGTTTAGGCTTAGGGTTGTTTAAGGCTATAGGTTCAGTCAGGTTTAAAGGTGGCTTGAAAGTCGGAAGCAGGTACACGGGCGCTGTGGCAGTTGTTTTCGAGGGCCGTCGGGGTCGTGCAGGAGCCTTCCCTATCGCAAGAAAACACTACGGAGGCAAGAGTAGTTCATTACTTATGGTGCGGATGCGCGACCGCGCAGGCTGACCAGCCTGGCTAGCCCCTGACGCCATGAGGGATTGCAGGGCAAGTTGATTACGGTAACCCCGTGCCCCAACACCTCTTCTTGGGATTGACAAGAATGGAATGGGACGGCTCACAGCACGAGCCCTCACATTGAAAGCATCCCAACAGAAATTCATTGCTGGAGTGCTGATTACAAGAGTAGCCTACTCCGGGTTAAGGTATTTCTCGAACTGAGAGCTTGGGAAACTCCGAAGCTAGTCCTGCACTCTGCTCTGCCAGGGTCTGGAATTGAGGACACTTCTGCAAAACGACCTACGTCCACGATACACGGGCCTAGACCCTTCAGCGCAACAAGGCTTTGTAATACCCAACAGCACCGTGTCTAGGTGTCATAACAAGAGTTCCGCCTGTATTTAGTGTCTATACTAGGGTCCCTTGTGTGCTGAAATTTTCACAAGGTGCCGTGGTTGACGGTCAAGTCATACTCGAGCCAAGCATCCTGGAGCAAAGAAAATGCATCAGGGTTTAGAGTTTCCAAGGTTTAAGGCAAATCAGCTCGAACTCTCAATTCCTAAATGTCGAAACTGAACCCTGAAGCCTAAACCCCTGCTGCAGCGTCAGCAGCTAGTAGCCACGTTTCTCTCCAACCTTATGGATGATCTTTACGATTCCGTCACCCGCTGCTTTTGTCCGGCACAGTCCGCAGTGGTTCTTTACATCTTTCCACCCTGTACAGCCGAGACCTAGACCCAATCAAGACTCTCAACAATATACCCGCGAAGCCCTGCAATCCCTAAACCGACTGCAATCCCCAAACTCCTGAAAAAGTTCCGGGAGATCTGCGCGTGCAACTTGTCAAAACCCAAGACTTAGATTCGTTACCTATGCCCAAATCCACACCCCAAGCTCCCCCATGGATTGGAAACGCTGATGTTGGTCTTTGGGAGTAGTTTGGAGTTTCGCGTTTGGGATACAAGAATTCCGACTTGAAGAGTCGTTCCTTTTCAAAACCTGCAACCTCGTGTTGTGGGCTATTCAACCTCTTGTCAGATTCACCCGTAGAGTCTTGAAGACTGGGCCCAGGGTTCAGGGTGTAGGTTCGCCGGAGTTTGATGAAGAGTGGAACCCCGGAAACAGTTTCCGAGAATGGCCCGGGGAAATGTTGGAGGGGGGGGAGTTATTGCTGTCATCATTAATCATATAGTAATCAGACTGCTAGTATTATATCACCGTTATCTTGATTATTAAAGAAACTCACATTGTTTATATCATTATTATTATTATTATAGGCATTACTGTTAGCTTTTTATTCTGACAAAAAAATACCGTCATTATCTTATTACTGTTATAACTACTACAGCTACGACGACGACTACTAGTACTAGTACTACTATTGCTACTACTGCTACTACTGCTACTACTACTACTACTACTACTACTACGACAACGACAACGACAACGACAGCGACAACGACGACGACTACTACTACGACGACTACGACTACCACGACGACTACGACTACGACTACGACTACGCCTACGGCTACGGCTACGACTACGACTACGACTAC